AATAAATAGCAGGTGGCTTTCTTGAGAAGATGGAGAGAGAGGTGTGCTGTATCCTACTGCACGTGATAAAGGAGATTTACAGTCCCAATTTTGATACATGATTATCATTCACGTGGGAGGAAAGCCATGGACAAGATAGCACAGGGAAGGGGGTGAAGACTCTTGAAGCTGCTGGATCAGAAAATCCTGAACTGCTTCACCCCCTTTCTTTACCCCTAAACTTTTCAAATATGTGACCTAGTACATTTTATTTTGCTTAAGTAATTTTGAGGAGCCCTGACAGCTTAGTGGCTTAAGTGTTAGGTTGCTAGGCAAAAGATTGGCTGTTCCAACCTACCTACTTCTCTGAGGGATAGAGATGGGAAATTTGCTCCTGCTAAGATTTACAACCTCAGGCAACCTGATGGGACAATTCTACAATACGACTCTGACCTATCAACTGACAGTGAGTAAGTGAGCCAATTTGAGGTCCCTAGAGGTCAGGTGTGTCAGAAACTGTGTGATTGGCTCAGGATAGGACCGGGTTCACAGCTATTTCCCCTACGGTCTTTATGAGGAGTGGTTGACCCAGTGGCAATAAGCACAACAATGGGTGGCACAGATGATTTGCTCTGGCTTCCCAACAAAAAAAGGTTCGTGGTTTGAACCCACCCAACAAAGAGATGGATAAATGCTTCGTGATCTGTGTCCGTAAAGATTGGAACCAACACAACCCTGTGGAGCTCCGTTCCACTCTACAACAAGCGGGGTTGCTGGGAATTCAAATTAACTTGGCAACAAGAGGTTTTGGTGACTGGATTTTATGCCACGGGAAACTTCTAAGAGCCATAAACTGTTTCTAGGAGTCAGCCTTTTTGTGATCAACCTACATGTACTTTTCTTTTAAACGACCTTTTTAAAAAAATAATTTTAATAAGTTTACAAAGACTTAAGGTGTCCATTCATTCTTTGTTGCACTTTTCTCCCTGCCTTCCCTTTCCCCCCAATTCACTCTTCTCCTTGAAAAGTAAAAGAAAAACTCTTTCATTGTTATGCAATCCCTCCCCCAAGTCCACCTTCATTCTGGACTCCTGTCATAACAATAATACCCAATCAAATATCCCTTTTAAACAGTTCTCTCCCTCATCTGTTTCAACGCAGTACACATCATTCCTCCCCTCCATCTCTCTCTTCCCTCAACCCCCACATCAGTCCCGTTTTACAAAATTGGGCCTATGCAATATAAGTTTTCTTCTTTAAAAATTTATTTTTTTAATTGCACAACACCAAAACCAGTCTTGCAAAAACCAAAACAAAACAAAAACCACCACCACTACCAACAAACCCCACCAAACTACTGTAAAATAATTCAATGAGTTGCTTTTTTACAATTCTGTACAGTAGGCAGCTCCTCAGTCACAGTTCCAGACCATACAGTCACGTGGCAGGTCCGCAGACAGGCCTTAACGGAGAGCTCTCTCCGGGTTCCTACTTAACGTGGTAGTGGGCATGGAAGAATCTTGATTTCCCTTTGTTCTCCAGTGTATCGTGTACAAAATATTACATTTTTTCAAAAACTATATGTTTACAAACTTATAGCCAGGCTTGGCAGGATAACAGTTGAGCCCCTCAATCTCCTTGATCAAGGCCAGAGGGTGAGGAGTGCTCCCTATTCATTTACACCTCCATGAAAAAAGCGTGTGTTCCCAGAGGCCTAGATGAAGGTTATAAAAAAACACTCATCTGCTGTAAATTCACTTACATAAAGCTATGCCTGTCATTGATAACAATTAATCAGTTCATGTCTTGCTCCCTGAAGGTAGAAGATTGTGAAGTAAAAGAGACCCACATATACTTTACTGAGACACTAAATAAACCTTTTTAGGCTTTCCTATTTTCGTACCTCTGTGTGTTTCCTCTGCTAACCCAGCAGCTGAACCTCTCTGCTGGTTCGAATCTACCAGCTGTTCTTCAGGAGAAAGATGAGCAAGGACCCTTTACGTGACTTACAGAAACCCACTGCAGGGTCAGCTATGAGTAAAGTCTGACTCGACAGCAATGGACTTGAGTTTGTGCTATTACCTACTGAGCTTCATTGTGTGTGGTGCTGGTAGAAGGTTGACATGAGTCAATGGAACTAAGTCAATGGTGGTGAACTTGGTTTGTGCTTTTGTCTCTGTTGTTACCTCTCCAGTGGTTCCCTTCCAATCGTGTCCTCTCAGAAATCTCTATCCACCTGTTAAGATCTGAAAAAGTGTCCTTTTATTTTGTAGGATATTATTTGGTGATCCAGGCCATGGTCTTTCCAATTTTTTTTTGCTATGAATCAGTAAGCTGGACAATGACTAAAGTTGACAGAAGAATAATTGATGTCTTTGAGCTGTGGTGTTGGAGAAGAGTATTGAATATACCATGGGCTGCCAAAAGAAGAAACACGTCTATCCTGGAGAGGGTGAAACTAAGCTGCTCCTCAGAGGCAAGGATTTTGAGGCTCCATGTCACATAATTTGGGCTTGTGGCCAAGAGGGACCAGTCCTTGGAGTAAGCCATCATGTTTGGAAGGGTGGAGATTCAGTGCAGGAGAAGAAGACCCCAAATGAGATGGATTGACACAGTAGCTGTGGTAATGGTGCTAGGTGTGTTGAAGGCAGTGAAATTGGTTCAGGATAGGGCAGGGTTCAGAGCTATTGCGCATAGGGTTGCTATGAGTTGGAAGCAACTCAAGGGCACATAATTGCAACATTTGGAGATGGTCTAATTTTAAATACATGGTCCTAGTATACAATGATCAATCTGCCTTTATTATTTCAGTTGTCAAATGGTCATTAAAAAAGATTTCTTTCATACTGCTAGGAGCTTGCTTAAGAAGATAACCTATGGAACACATAGAGAAGTAAGTAAGTCATTACAATATGAAGAAATACCTGTTGAAATGGGAGGCTGTGGTAATCTAGGGGTTGTATTAGTACAGTGAGGTAGCCTATAATCCAGTCTGAGAGCATATACAGTGCTGGATAAGAGGGGCCTTTTCCTGGAAGGAGTAATATCTATATGGAATTTAAAGAACCAGTCAGAGTTAGACAGACAAGAAGACAAGGGAAAGAACATTCTGGGAAGAGTTCTTGCAAAGGCCCAGCATTGTCCAAGCACCAGGCCATTTTGAGGTCAGTGCCAGAACATGGAGTTTTAGAAGGTATGTGGTGAGAGATGATATGGAGTCCTGTGTGAAAGCCAGATCAAGAAGTTCTGTCATGTGAGTCATTGGGGGAGATGTCTGGTTTTTGCTTTAGAAAAATGACAGAGACTTCAGGGTAGAGAAAGACCTGGGAACCCAACTTGGAGGAGAGAGCTCAGTTAGAAGATACCTCCAGGCCTCATGCTCTATGTGTTACCTCCCCTGAGGGTTCTAACCTGGACCAGACACAGTATTTGAAGATGATGGGCAAAGTGGCAAAGGTAGAAAGCCAGTCCCAGGGACCTGCTTTTGAAAAGCTTTCACCTTAAAAACGAAATAGATCAGTTCTTCTCTGCACACAGAGGGTTGCCATGGGCCAGAAGCAAACTGAAGGCTCTTTCTACTTGTGCCACCAAGAGGGGAGAAATTCTTTGATGGGTCCATTCTGGAACCCAAGTATGTCTTAAATGATGAGAATTGCAGGGATTACGTTATTCCTGGACGTGATGACGTTATCCCATAAACAATACGCCTGAGATGGGATGCTGCAAACCACACACGCTAACCCCAACTACTGATGTGTTTGAGGTATGTTGAACTGCATTTACTACCATCTATTTTTGCTTTGATTTATATACCTTATGATTAGTAATATGTACTATATACATCACAGCATATGATTTGCTGATGTTACTATTCTCAGATGTTTGACTTTATGTTGCACTATTCAAAACACTACCATTTAGATTTCATGTTTAAAACAAAACCAGGGCTTCACTTGCTTGAAAAAAACTCATGCAAAGCAAACCGCTTTGCAAAGTCCACAGGCAAATTAATGAAGCAGTGAGATATTACCTCAAAATTGATGAGGAGAGAAAAATGAAAAGGCCGTGTAGACAATTCTCACTACTGCCTGACTAGAAATGCCATCATCATACTCAAGGAAAATGCAGATGATCTAGAACCTTTTACACTGGAGTTAATGCCACAATTTAACAAAATACCAAGGTTCTCCAACTCTTTATAGGTGGAATAAACGTTTATGATTTGGGTGTTTGAAAATGAATTCATGCATTAAAATGTATATATCAGCTTATATGCAATGTTTCCAACCCCCAGAGTTAAGTAACAATGGAATTGTTAAAGACACTGGTAATAGAAAGAGACTACTGGTGCCATAAGTCCATAGGGAGTTGTTCTGCTCATCTCTAGTGGTTCAAATCCACTGGTGACTCCAAGGGAGAAAGGCAGGTAATCTCCTCCCTTGTGGCTCATAAGCCTCGGAAACCCAGTGGGGGGTATGAGTTGATTCTGATTTGATGACAGTGACTGAATGAGTTGTAATAGGAGACAATGACAATGAAGACTGAGAAAGAGAAGCGTTTGGTATTTGACTTACATCAGAACTAGGTTATGGCAGCATCATCAGAACAGAGCCCTAGTGTAAACCAAGGACTACAGATATAACAAAATTCAGCAGCCCCTTGTGGTTCTCAGATCAACTCTGAGTTTTGAATTAATGGACACTGGTTGCAAAAGAGGGAGCTCTGGTGGCATAGTCTGGATACAGTTGCGAACCCAATGTCAGTGCTTCTCTGATGTTCAAATCCATTGGCTGCTTTTAGGGTGAAAAATAGGCAATCTCCTCATGTTTAGTCTCTAACCTCTGAAACTCCATAGAAGGGCAGTGATGACCTCAAAAACTCCTTTGAAGGTCAACTATGAGTCAGAATTGACTCAAAAGCTATGAGAACATTTGAGAGATGACAAAAGATTGTATCACTTCACCATTAGATTTTATTAGCAGTATGATTCGGTGGACACACATCTGTGGGCTCCTGACAGCCTAACATTGGTGGAGGGTGAGCAGAACCTCCTCTCTCACAGTTTCTTGACTACAGAAGTTGAATCTGCGAAAAAAAAAAAGCAACAAGAAAAGAAATAATCTTTTACTGACACACATCTGAATTTTCCCTTGTCATCTGCCTGATTCTTTTTTCCCTTGTGATCATTTCTTATTCCTATAAATCCTTTTGAACTATTTTTTCAATTGCAAGTTTTTGAACAGTTTGATCCTTTCAAGTTTTCCTCTATCTAATTATTCTTCACTACTGAGGCAAGATCTTTCTAAGCCTTTAACTCAGCACCCCTTGAGTTTTGCATCTTTCCAGTCTGGTTGGTCCTGCAAGAGAATCAGTCACTGTTGCCTCTAGTCCCTTCAGTAAGATCTTTCCCTGGTCTTGAGCAATTTCCTAACACACATGGGCTGATCAGAACGTTGGTGATCAAATGGGCTGGGGATTTCTGAGGTTCTCAGTCTTTAGCGTTCTCCGACCCTCTGTCCTGCAGAACCCAGTCTTTCTGGATTCACAACTCTTATCTCCTCAACTCAGTCCTTTCACTCTCTGGTCTGGGAAACTGTAAGGTACAATTGCCTTTTTTCTTAACCTCTCAGGGCTCTATGTCCTTTTTTAGGCCTAATGTCCAGTGCCCTGAACACTGTTGCTTTCTATATTTTGTCTAGATTTTCGGTTGTTTTGGTTGAGAGGGTTAATCTGACCTCTATCATTTCTTCTGTTCAGTAGGCAGAAGTCTCATTGTTAGGTTTTTATATGGAGTGAAGGACACGAGAGGCAGAGCACCATGCTTCACAATTTTGCTTAATACTCAAAACATGTGAGCTAATATTGTTACATTCATTACTGTTGCCAGTTCCTTCTTCTCAGAGGATTCACCATGGTAAAGGACCCTCTGGCTCACATACACCTCAGTCTTGGATACCCTAAAAGGTTGTTCTATCTCTTGGAATGTCTGATTTTATTCAGGAGGCAAGTGATTCAAGCCAGTCTATCTCCATCTTTTGAAGTTAATTTGGGGGACATTTCTGGGCCTTGCTGTTCTGCCAATAACATATGTTAAGCACACCAGTACAAGGTGGAGCTACCAAGTGAAAATATTCTTTAGACTTTAGGATCTTAAAGCCAGATTCTCGTTCTAATGCTTCACTTGTATCAGATGGCACAACACTTAGCTGCAAATTTATAAAAATTCTTTTACCAAAATATTCCTTTTCTCCCTAATGAAAAAAAAAAAGGAAGGAGCCAGGACCAGAGTGGTTGAGAATCATTCAGTTCAAGGAGTTTTAACCCAGGATACACTCATGGTGGTAAAAACAAGATAAGTTGATCCAATACTACAAATCTCTAAGGGTTTAACACATATACTTACATTTTCCCATCATTCCTTTCAACCACAATCTTGGATGCTCCCACTCTGGGGAGAGTTGGGTTGATCACGTTGTTATACCAAATAAATTTAACCTTCTGCAGGTTTCCAACATCCACATTTGAGTCAAATTCATTGGAATGAGTGTAGTCGGGATTGAGAGTGCCCCTGAGCATTAGGAGTTAACAAAAACATACAAGAAAATACATATAAATAAATATTTATGTCTTTAAAACTAGCTTACCATGTATATTTTTCTATGACAGCTGAGACTACAATCGTCATTTTTGTGTTTTAAGCAGATACAGGCATAATGCTAACCAGTGCAGGGTATCTGCCTTTCATCTCTTAATTTAAAGCTAGTTTTAACTCTTGGAAAACCTTAAACAACACGTTAGTCATAATTCTTTCCAAATTTCATAAATAATGATTTTACTATATCATCTTTCCCCAGGGATTTTATGGGCAAGCATCATTCTCTATTGATTATAAACTAGACATAAAAAAAAAGTCCTCAAAGTCAGCATCAACAACCTTCTCAGGAAATAGCAAAGGCAAGAATTTCAAGACAGAATTTGGAAATGTGTTAGGGTAATGGGCTAATTCTCTTCTTTTTAATGATACGTGGTGATTCTAAGCTTATTTATTTATGTTGCTGTCTTTAGGTGCTGTTGAGTTGACTCAGAAATCCCATTAACAACCGTGTCCATCCTGTGCCATCCTCATTTTCTCTGCCATGTCATATGAACAAACTTGAATATAAATCAAAATGCTATACATGATAATTATTCCAATATTTTACAAACTTAGAGTAAGAAATATTTCACTTACTTGAAAATCTCATACTGTTTAGAGTTTCCTTTGTCTCCAAACAAAGAAACTAATATATGTCCTGTGACTTTCTTTCCTGACAGCGTGACAGATACCTTGTACCTGTAACCTGCACACACACACAAAAATCATCAATGTCAGCTTGCTGAGATGATACACTGAGATGAGGTTCATCTGGATTTTGTGACTGAACAGTTTCACGTAACTCATATACGGTGTCGGTACTTCTTCCTCTGTTACCTACAAAAGAAAGCCTCATCTGTCCCTATTTCTCTGCATCCTCCTTGTCCAGCATATCTCCAGTCCTAAACAGGCCCCCGGTCTGCCAACTCTTCCTTATTCCTACAACCTCTGAAATGTCTCTCTTTTGTTTACTTGCTCTGCTAATCTGGAACTGGACTGAATATGAGGAGACTGGAGCAGAGGAAGATTTCCAAATTCAGCACCAGTCTCAAAGGCAAAGTAATTTGTTGTTGTTGTTATTATTTATAAGTTAGTTCATTGCTGTTGAGACTCCACACAGAAGAACACAGACCAATTCAACAGTTCCTGTGTGTACAATTCAGGGCCACTGACTACATTCTTCAAGCTATGCAAACATTCTTACTCTCTTGCTCTCTCTGAACGGTTCCTCCTTCGTTATCAGAAACTCGCTGCCCTCTAAGTTTCTTATATAATCTTTCAGGTTGCTAATGTTAATTTGACCCCACATAGCTACATGTCCAAAGAGCACAATGCTCAGGGGAAGCTGTTTATTTTTGAATTATTGATAGTTTAGGCACAGAGCTTTATTCTGTTACCTAATGAGACAAAATCATCTTGAACACAGCATCAGAGAATTTTCTCCTTCCACTTCAGGGAAGTGTTAAAGTTAGTGTATAAAAAGGAAATTTAAACATTTTCAGTAGCTATGCATAACAGTAGGAAGTGAAGACCATCAAAAGAGAAACTTACGGGCAAAATTACTGGAATCACCAGTATTCAGATAAAACACCCGACCCACTCCGTTGGTTTTCCCAGGAAACCTATCAGCATAGTGACCCATCTGTGGGCAGCCTTCGCTTGGGCAGGGGAAACACTTATTCTAGGGAAAAGAAATAAATGATGTATGAGTATACTCTTTCATTGAATAGTGCACTATCTTCTTTACACATGTAATTCAAATGTTCTAAAGTTCATTCCATTCAGATAGGTTTTAAATAACATCTTTTTGTCATTGTTGTTATGTGCCGTCTAGTTGCCTGCGACTCATAGCAACTCTATGTACAACAGCCCTAAACCCTGCTTTTGTCCTGTGCCAATCTCACTGTCTCCCACACACCTACCCCCAATACCTCAGCCACTGAGTCAATCCATCTCATCAAGGGTCTTTCTCTCCTGCACTGTCCCTTCACCCTCTCAAGCATGATGTCCTTCTCCAAGGACTTGCTAAATGTCTCCCTCCTTGCTAAATGTCCAAAGTATGCCAGATGAAGCTTCAGAATCCTTGCCTCCAAGGAGCAGCCTGGTTTAACCCTCTCTCGGATGAAACTTTTTGTTTTCTTAGTAGTCCATGGTATATTCAATACTCTTGTCCAGCACAAAGGCAAAACATATATCTTATGAAACAGATTATTCACACACACACACACACACACACACACACACAAATCAGCAACTTCATTGTTAAATAATACCAACCAAAAAATCACTATAAAAACCAAACAATAGCAGGACTTATATTTTCTGTCTTGGCTCTAAATGGCCCAGTTGAACCAAGACTTACTAGCTGTCTGCCAAGTTGAAAGATTTACTTTAGCAGGCTTGGAAAGGTCAAGAACAAGGCATGATCATGAGCTCTTGACGTAGGAAGAGTAGGCTAAGTAGGAAGGCAATAGGCTAAAATGTCAAGATTTCCCCTCTCCCCTGAATTCTTTATTAGAAAACTTGAAAGAGTCAGATCTCAGAATTTTTCCCATAAGGGGAGAAAATGCTCAAGTTGACCACACAGACTTCCCTGGGAGGTAGGAATTTAGAGAAGATGAATGGAGCATAGAAGGTTTACTCTTCCTAGTTCAAGGAATTGTGGGGAAGCCAAGAGGGCAGGAGGAACAAAAGCACGTGGAAGGAAGCATCCTAGTTCCATCTGTGGAGGGCTAGCTTTTACTCCACAGTAGAAACGAGGATCAGTGGTCCAGGCAAGAGACTTGGCAGAATCTCAGAGATGTACATCCAGCAACAGAAGAGAGTCAGAGTTCTCTGAGGGCATTGCCTGAGCCACGAGAATAGACAAGCTCCAGATTTTATCGCAAATACCAGCAGACCTCTGATCCACAAGGCAGACAAAGATAATGACCACAGTTTGATGAAATCAAATGACTTTTATAAGCTTCTATAATGCTTCTATAAGCATGGACCCTCAGATCTTCCAGTTGGCTGAAACTCAGACCTTTACTATCACCACCAGTGGAGAAAAGCCTTTAGGGGAGTTCAAAGGCTGAGAAATAGGCAAAACTGAGATACTTCTTTTATAAAAGAGACTAAGCATTGACTAAAAGACCAACCAAGCATTCAATCTATATGATTACATCAGACTCAGTTTTAATTGGATTCAAACCTAGCATCATTAGTTTGATTATGGTGCTTGTTAGCTTGTTTTCCTCATTAAGCAGAGGTTGGAAAACCTCTTGGGAAAAGATAAAAATAAAATTAGATCAAAGAAATGGAGGTTCATTCTTATGCATATGTAAGCTGTGATGTAAGTAAAATACTCCCTACAACAGTCAACAATTGTAGTGTATTAATTATTGTTTTTCAGCTCTGAGCTAAACAATTAACTTATCTGTCATTTCAGTAAGCCCTCTCACCAAGTGTATAGAGGTATACCATTAGTATTTATATTTACAAATGTCAAACAGCTGAAGAGAAATTGAGTATTTTGCCCAGAGTCACTTAGCCATTTAATGGTCAAATCAAAATTCCCATCATCTTTCTTAACCAGGAAAGTGTATGTCTTGGTTAATTATGACATTAGCGAACACATTAGTTATCTCTTTTTTTCTTATTAAATGTCATGTTGTTGTTGTTGTATACTGAGTCAGAGCTAACCCATAGCTGACTCTCTGGTGAGTTTTCAGAGCCAATTAATTGCATGGGAAGAGATTGCCCATCTCCCATGGAGCAGCTGGTGGATTCAAACTGCATGCCTTCGGAATTACAGTGCAGCTTTTTTGCCACTAGGCTACCCAGCGCTCTCTCTTAAATATCATATGTTACAAATTTTTATTTTTGCTAAAAGTTTGCATAAAAAGACAATTAAATAAACAATGAGCAATAGTTACGGTATAATCAAGATTATAGTTAAAGGTCTCAAGCTAGATATCCAGAGAATACTGTAGAAGATGAAAATTCAAACCTATCTTACTTAGCAAGTATGAAATCACATAGAAATACTCATTTGCCTATACTTAGAAAGGAGCCCTGGAGAAGTGGTGCATTACATGTTGGGTTGCTAAATGAAAGGTCAGTGGTTCAAATCCACCAACTGCTCCATGGGAGAAAGAAGGGCCACCTGTTCCTGTTCAGATAAAGAGCCTCAGAAACCAGTGGAAGATCATCAGTAACTGGCATCAATTAGGCCGCAGGGAGTCCATTGGCATCGCTTTTAAAGGTCAGCATTTAAGAATACCTTTTTACATTTCCATTAGCAGCCTGTATATAAAGCTCAGACTTCCCTAGAATATTTCTCTTTTAGGACTATATAAAAACAAGTACGGCAATTCGCCTGCTACAAACAGTAGAGACCAATAAGGAGGTAGATATAGGGTATTTCCATTTACAAGTTCATTTTCTTTCATATTCCCTAATGCTTTATCATTATTAATTTGTACATATGATGTAACCTGTGTTTGCTGTGATGCTGAACCTTGTGCCATGGGAATATCAAATACCATAAGGGTTTCCCATTGTGCACAGTATTTAGTGGAGATCCCACTTGTAAAACAGGTTGGGAAGCAGGAGTGGCATCCACTTTCTAAACTATATACTCTATGAACTTGGAGAAACACGATAGCTATGGAAAGGCATTAGGCCTTTTGTTCATAGAGTCACTATGAGTTGACGTTGACTTGATAGCAATCAACAACAACATATGATTAAAAGTAAAAGTCATTTTATGTATGTATTTTCTTGCAATTCTATGGCAGTCTTTGTTGACTGCATGTTAACCGCAGAGAAACACAGCAATCCTAAGAAGTGGTGGGGTTTTTGAGTGAAAGGTGGAGTATACTTACGGCAGTAAAAGCACTGTATGTGGCACAAGAGTACCCAGCAAAGCCATTCGGGTTGAGAATGCTGTCAGCATAATACTTGTAGCTTCTTAAGTGATTGCAGGCCACAAAGTCACGAGTTCCTTTGAAATTAACCAAGATTATACATCAGCAATCTTTTCTTTGGTGCCAATTCACAGAGGTCATAGATAGAAATGATTTACTAAGTATGTATATGATTTGTAATACAATCATGAATTACCAAGAACCATTTAAGAGTTTAATGGCGCATAGCAAAATGAAATGGGAAAATAACTTTAGAAGGAAAAGGTTCTTTGTCCGCCTAGATATCTAAGCATCTCTGAATAAGAACCATGATGAGTTGACTGCAAATATGTTTTCTTTCCAAGGGTTTCCTCGTGTTAAAAGCCTCACAGAACATTTGATATCTTGCAATACAATGAAAAGTCTTTCTTTTGTCATAGAATATGTAATACTGATATACTATAGACATACAAAGCAATTTTGGTGAAACAAAACAGAAATTCTTCCCTAGAAAAATCTCTTTATACACAAAATGACCTTACCTTCCCAGATCCCCTCGATGTCAACAATCTGAGAGAGAATGTTCTTCTGACATCCGGGCATTTCTTTTCCTCCGTTGGGAAAGAAGTCAAGGTGACCCACGGTTTGGCTCATTCCAAACCCTGAGGAATTTGAAATGAAGGGGAAGTTGATGTTGATGGATGGAAGTGACATGATGAGCAGGTGCTCACTGTGGGAAGACAAGGTGAGGTGCTTACCCATGTTGGGGATGATGGGAGCGGCATCTGTGTGGATCACGTCCACAAACATGGCATCACTGGGGTCCAGTCGGACTAATTCAGGTGTGCCCTCAAAGCAAGGTTCGGCTGGATCCAGTCCTAAAGTAAGCAGGACAGGACATGTTCATATTCATCTATGTTTATACATAGTCACTAATTACAAACATCAGGCCAAAGGCTAACTGGTTTTAGAAATTGTCCTTGGAGATAGGCAAGTGCTTGAAAGTCAAATCCTATGGTTGGGGAAAAACTCATTCTAATGCACTTAAATGCACTTTAACGCATGATGGCACTTAACAACAATAACAATGACGACATAGAGAGAGCTACGTTGGCCTAGTGGACAGAAAGTTATGCTATCAAGCTGAAGGTGGGTGATTTTAATCTGCAGCCCTCAGGCCTGGTTTAAATTTTTTTTGTCACACATACTTCTGTGAGGTATAGCACTGGTTTGTGCATTGCTGTACAAAGGTAACTCATGGTTGTTGTGATGCTAAACACTGTGACACCGATGTGCCAAGTGTGATAACGCTTGCCCATGGTGGACAGTGTTTGGTGGAGCTTCTTGATTAAAACAAGCTTGGAAGCAGGAGTGGCATCCACTTCTGAAATAGCTTGCCTCCGGAAACTCTATGAACGGTGCTTAGGCCTTTCATTCATAGGGTCACTATGAGTCATCTATGACTTGATGGCACCAAACAACAACAACAACAAGAAGAATGCAAATAGCAAATAAAGAGCTGGTTTTCCTTAAAAACAAAATAGTAAGGAAGACCCAGAAGCCCTGGTGGCGCCATGGTTAAGCACTCATATCCTAGTGAAAAGGTTGGCAGTTCCAGTTACCAGCCACTCTGTGGGCAAAAGTGGTGGCCATTCACTTCTGTAAAGATCACAGCTGGAAGCCCTCTGGGGCAGCTGCACTCTGTGCTCCTGGGTCACGATGGGTCTGAATGGAACAGAGGCGATGGGGAAGCATGTATTGCTCAGGACAGCCGGTGGCTTTGAGAATGGATGCTTAAAGGGACCTTGGTAGCATCGTGCATAAAGTGATGGGCTGCAAACTGGAAGGTTAGCTCTATAGGGGAAGGAGGAAGTGTTCTCATTCCTCAAAGAGTCACAGCCTTGGGAAGCTGGTGGGAGTTCTCTGAGAGTCAATCTCAACTCAATGGTAGTGAATGGGCATTTAAAAAAATAGTCTTCTTATGCACACCCATGTTTATTGCAGCTTTGTTTACAATAGCAAAGAATTGGAAGCAGCCTAAGGGCCCATCAACAAACGAATGGACAGAGAAGCTGTGGTATATCCACACAATGGAATACTACACAGCATTGAAAAACAAGGAACTCATGCAATATTATTCAAAGTGGGTGACCCTGGAGGACATTATGCTGAGTGAAATATCTCAGTCACAAAGGGACAAATACTGCATGGTGCCACTGTTGTAGAATGGGTCTGACATCAGGGTGGGGGTATGACAGAAAAAACTGGATAAATTATGTGTATTGTATTGAAACAGATGAGGGAAAGAACAGATTAGAAGTGATATATGATTGAGTATTATGGTTAGCACAGGAATCCAGAATTAAGGTTGCACAGAGAAGTGTACTCGGGGTGGAGGGTGGGGGGAAGGGATGTGGGAATTGTATACTAATGAAGGAATTTTTTTTTCTTTTTTTTTTTCTCTCTTCGGAGGGGGAAGCGAGCTGGTGGGGAGGGGTGAGCAGGGAGAAAATTGCGGCAATGAATGAATGGAAATCCAAAACCTCTGTAAAAAAAATTATAAAAAAAATAGTCTTCTTGGGGGGAGGCAGTGTAAAACAATGAAAGAATTTTTCTTTTACTTTTCAAAGAGAAGAGTGTACTGGGGGTGGAGAAGTGGGCAGGGAGAAAAGTGCAATAATAAAAGAATGGAAATCCAAAGTCTCTGTAAATTTTCACTAAAATTAATTAAAAAATGATTAAAAAAGAAAATAAAAAAATAGTCATCTAAGGAGCCCTTGTAGCATAGTGGGTTACTTATTGGTCTGCTAACTGAAAGGTCTATGGTTCTAATCCACCAGCCGCTCCACAGAGGAAGGTGAAACTGTCTCCCTCCCATGAAGATGAGCAGCCCGGGACCCATCAGAGGTCACGATGAGTCGGAATCCACTCGAGGGCAGCGGGTTTTGGGGTTTGGTGGGTGTTCAGTCACTGGAAGCAATGCCCATTATTAGCTGCTCTCACGTGGAAGTTCTGAGATTTCAGGAGACACTGGACCCCCCCCAGAGCTGTTCTATTAGAACGGTCTCCACTCGGTTCTAAACGTCCATGTGGCAAGGGCATTGGCTCTCACAGTCACTAGGGCACAGCCCGACAGGAACAAATGTTTACAGAGGATGGGAAAGAATGTCCTGGGTAGAACATCTTACCAACGGATCAATAAACAGATATTCCAGAAGCTCCCACCAACTCAGGGGCAACCCAGGTATCCCAAGGATGTGTGTGTGTGTATTTTCAAGAATCAGGAGCTCAGAGACAGAGTCAGAAAATGGAGAAATGTTGGTGTTTTAAAAATTACCCACGTTTAGATCTTACACATAAGGCAACATTGTTGTTTTAGAACCTATTCTCCAACATGTGACCTCACTGGCCAGATGATCCAATTTGAGATTTTTAAAAATCTCTCTTTCAAATTAGCAGCAAAACTAAATGGCATCCCTGGGAAATTTGTCCTTTTGACCACCTATCTCACCACTCCCCCCCAACAACACACACATGTTGTTAATGTTGTTGATTGCCTTCGAGTTGGGCACGACTCATAGCAACCCTCTGAGCAAAAGGCCTGAAGCCCCTCTACAACTATCGACATTTACCAAAGTTCATAGAGTTTCCAGAGGCATGTTGTTTAGGAAGTAGATGCCACTTATGCTTCTACACCTGTCATAGTATGTTACTGTTGTTATGTGCCACTGAGTCGCCTGTAATGTAAAGCGACCCTATGCACAGCAGCTCTAAACCTTGCCCTGTCCTGAGCCAGTCTCACTAATTCCAACACTTGTAATTCTGGGTAATTGACTGGCCTTCTCAGCTATTTATACTGAAGAAAAAAAAAAACCAGAATGAATTACACAGCTGTCAACTTTTTCATTTTAATCCTATTCTAATTATACAATAAAACCTGTACCTCGTGAATGTCTGTCAAAGGGAAAATAGTGCTGAGTGAGGCCCGCAGCTGTTTCTAATTCACATTTTCATCCCATGCAATGTTTATGAACTATGCCAGGCTCTGTAGAGCAAGATCTGTGTCAATAAAAAATTTAGAGGGATGCAGAATACACCAGTTTCTGATCCAATTTTGAAAATGAGCAAGTCTGTCTCCACAAATGAAAAGCAGAGCTGCATACATCTAGTCTACCTTTGCAGCTTTCAGTCTTTTGACCAACCTGTGATCCGTCCCACGGCCCCGTTGGTCCTCCTTCCGGCCTCCCCGGCGGCGTGAGAGCCCAGGCTGTGGCCAATGATGTGAACGTTGACAGGAGAGTATCCGAACGATGACTGTTGGGAAAGGGAATCTTTCAGAACGCTTCCAAGTACTATGGGATCAAAGGTGGGTACAAAGGGGAACTTTTGCAAACTTATATTACCGGAAGGCACACTACCTTCTCAAAGCAATTGTTTTTCTTGGATAGTTTTATTTCCCTACAGTAACATTTAAAAGGCAGAAATAGGTCTAACTCTTAAATAATTGCAAATGCGGTTTATTGTTTTTTATCTTATGGTGTTGAGAGAAACTTTAATAGACACGGTCAATATGAAGAATTATTACCCTGAGATAATGAAGCAAAATTAGCATAGATCTTAGTAGGACCCTGAAAAGACAGGGAGACCCAGGACATAGATGAATGGTGATTAATTTTATAAAACACAGTGTGTGGGAAGGGTCATTGGAAACACAGTGCAGATGAAACACAAATGAAAATGAAACACAATGTGTAAGGATTTTGTATACAAACCAGTATACAATAAAAAAAAGGAAAAAAAGCAGGAAAAAGAGAAGGAAGATGGAAGAATACAAAAAAAATGATTAAAGCAATGCTATAAGTCCATGCAAGCTTAATAATTACTGCATTTTTAGCTGTTAAGTCAGGTTGGCTTGCTCTCATGGTGGTTCTCTTAAAAAAAAATAAATAAACAAAATCTTGTGTAGTCTTGAGATTGACGTTGCCAGGCTAACTTGGCTTAACAATTGCTAAAATCAAAACAACTGTTGGTAGAATCCAGCACCAACAACCTACCAGTGTTAAAAAAAATAGCTTAAAGTGCAAACTAGCTTATTGAGTTGAGTAAGTTTATGGATAAAACCTAAATATTTTTCATTTTTCAATCAAGGTGAAAGCCAAATCTGAAGGGAAGGAATGGCATGAACAATTATCATTCCTACTGAATTAAAAAAAAGGAAAAAATCAGAGAGCAAGGTGTGACAGGAAATCCCTGTGTAACCAGAAGACAGTTACCTGAAGAACTTCAATGAAATACGCCACTTCCGCCCCTACAATCCGGATGTTCTGGGAGGCCTGGGTGTACCCAGTACGGGACCCTCTTTTCCAGTCCACACAGATGCAGTTCACACTTTCCACCTGAAACATGTTCTAGGGGCAGAGACACAAATCAAGAGGTAAGCAACGCAAGACCTTTATTAATTGCTAATTTGCACATTTAAGGGCTGGGATGCACTCCTTCCTTGGTCTATCTGATTAGGATGCTTGCATTCAACCCTGAAGCAGTCAACAAGGCCGTTAGCTTGTTAACGGCTATGAAATTATTACTAGTTAACATTGGCTCCAAACTGGAGGTTTGACTATTGTGGATATTAGAACCTTGGATTTTCTTTGCAAGGTAAACATAGAAATTTGATTTATAAAAACGATATAAAATGAGAAACTTGTCTCATTAGATTATTATAAGAGGTATTAAGATTGTATTGTCCTGTACTATAGTGGAAGGCACGTATGGACATTACATGTTTTATTCAATGGCTGTATTCTCAATGGCCAGAACTGTCCCTGTCACACAATGTGTGATCAACAAATCTTTATTGAATGAATAAATAAAGGGTTATGCTGAGGCCCTTTAAATCATTAGGTAAGTGTGTAAGCTCTTCCGTGAGACAAAGACTAATCAGAGTCTCTGGCTGAATAGTCTCTGCTGAACATCTTTGAAGACTTGTTTCATTAAAAACATAACTATTGAGAGTTACTTGAAGATCTTCCTTCTGGGGCATCAATATAGTTAGAGGGATGTTAAATCAGGCAAGAGTTTTGTTTGTTTGAGTAGACTTTTTACTGGGTCTCCCCTCATTCCGCAAAGATGAGAAAACCCAAAGCCATTTAAAAAGTCCTCTTCAGTTCCTGCATTATTCAGATGGGAAAATAGGGGGAATAATTTGCTAACTTCGTGGTTTGTTAATGGTAGAGTCAAGACTGGAATTTGGTGTCTTTAACATCCTGCTTTTCTTTGGGAAAGGACATGATGCTGGGAAGGGTGGAGGGTCGGTGAAGGAGAGGAAGGCCCTCAACCAAGTGGACTGACACGGTAACTCCTGCAATTGGCTCTTGTGTGTCAGGAAATGTGAAGATGGCTCAGGATAGAACAGGGTGCAGATTTTTTGTTCATAGGGTCGCTATGAGTCATGTTTGACTTCATGGCACCTAACAACAACAATAACAACAACAACAACAACAACAGTAACATCCTACTTTAATCCAATTGCTTCTCTATCATAGTTCAACAGTGTTGTCAAAGTCAAATAGAATGTAAGGAAAAACGTCTGCTTCTGAGATCTTGGAACTAATTAGGTATAAATATCTAAATATCTATATTACTTTTGAGTTATGAATTACTCAATACAAAAAAAAATAAAAACATCATCAACTTAAAGCTACTTTTGAAGGCAGGTTATGGTTTTCCTCTAATTGCTTCTAAACTTGTGAAAATGTATTCTACTTGATTTTCTGTCTTTTATTTCTTCATTATCACAGGGCGCGTAGCCAGGGGCAAATTAAAGAAAATGGAATCATTGCTTGCAATATATGTGGAAATGAAATGAAAACATATCTTGGTTTCCTAGATGTAGTTACTACAGGAGATTAGAGTAACAAGTCAAAATAGAAAGAAAGAAAATATTTTGTGCAAAATAACATATTTTGTGGCCCTCATGTGAAAACGAAAGAGTTATGGTGAGTTGATAGATGTCAGTGTAGAAGCATTTGTGGATAAAGAAGCATTGCATATAAAATTTTGAAATTATCTTTGTTCTTGTTATTAAATAATTTCTATTCAGAGCCACCAATTTGATGTGAAAATGTCCCAACCCCACATTTTGGAACCTTCCCTGGTCCAGCAGGGTTTACAGGATGCCCAATACTATAGGTTCAGCTCTTGCCTTATCATTTGTTGACTATCACTCCAGCCACATCTTCACCTTAAGAAATGGTCACATCTCACCTTGCACATGTTGGACAGCCAGCCTTCTTCTCCCTTGTCTATGAATCCATGAATAATAAAGCGTGTTTTCCTGTCAGTTCTGAAGTTGGAGCCCTGGATACTTGCTGCATCTGCAACTAGTTCCTGTTTGGGGTGGGGTGCAGGAGGAGAGTCAAAGCGTTTAATGCCAATTTTCTTCTAGAATACAATAGAAGTCATTGTACACAGGAGGTAGAAACTGGGAGAATTGCTAGGCTTTGAGATTCTACTGAATGAGGTTCCTCCCACCATCAAGCTATTCACAGTCATCACCATCTTGCTACTTCCTAGCTTTGATGAATATTTCAGTTGTTCAACTAAGAAAAATAATGTCTACTCTATGTCTACCATGGAGGTAGGACAAGAATAATGAATGACAGGTTAATGAGTTTCCCATAAACAACTTATTTGAAATAATGCTAATGCTCACTCCTCCCCTCAGTCTACACAGATACCTAGTCTGGTTTGATGTGTGTTCTTTTAAAAGCCTTGTTTTCCTCATGACACAATGAAGAGAGGGAACTGAGGTCTGAAAACATGAGTGCCCTTACTTGAAAGTTGGTTGGGTTCTCATTTGTGTACAGGAGGAAACGGGTATTGACGTCTTGTGGAGCCCAGGGCAGGATGTGAAGGGGTCTTTCTACAATCCCAGACCATGGGGAGTCATCTGAGAAGCAGCCGAGCCTTGGGAAGCAGACTTCTTTACCTACAATCACACAGAAAAGATCAAGAACAGGCATCAATTTAAGCAGAATACAGCTTTGAATGGTCTCTGGACTGCACTAGGAGTTAAATTATATTTTGTGGCACATTTTTTCCATTTGCTTTCCTGAGCATCTTTCTGTCCATACACCCAACAGAAACCTTTGAGACAGTGTATTGTAAGAGACGTGGCTGCTCTCCTCACTTCTGCCACTGAGGGCTTTCTTGTCCTCAAGTCTTTGCTCAGTCCCATGCTGTCACCTGTCCAGTTCTTGTTGTGCCCATAATTCTCTGCCTTGGTGCTTGACCCTAGATGTATCTGTTGCGCTTCTCTCTCTCTCTCTCTCTCTCTCTCTCTCTCTCTCTCTCTCTCTCTCTCTCTCTCTCTCTCTCTCACACACACACACACACACACCTCTCTCTCACACACCCCTCTCGGTTTCTCTGGCCTACATGGAATGGGATTTAGTTTAACACTTTTAAGACTGTGGTTCCCATAACAATCAAGCAGAAACTGTTCTTGTGAAATGTAGCATGGGGGCCATGAGGACATACACATATACATTCATGTTTGCTTACAGCCTGCGCTGGTGCACACACGCAAGTATGGGCATGCACACCTGTTCTGACCTTTCAGCTAGGACACCTTCCTTGGCCAGGGGTCACTGAAAGTGTGGTCTTGTGTTCTCAGGCCTCACAGAGGGTATAAAGCTCTTCAGTCTTTTAGCCACCTCTGGCTTTAACCTTTGGATGCAAAGTTCAGGTTTCATACACAGGCGTAAATAGTTGATCTTCACTCTGACCTGTGTTTGAGGGGTGTTCTGGATTCCTGTGATGAACAAGCTGTTCAGAACCAACCAACCAACCAACAAACCAACCAACCTATGCCTGGATATAACACTAGACTGGATTGTGTCATCCAATTTCTTAAAAGACCAACTCAAAGGGTCCTGAAGGTTTAATTAAAGTCTAAGTTCATGGTTGGAGTGAGAATAGTAGCTACAATAGTGGGGCTGCACTGATTTATAACTTACCATATGCTAAGTGCTGGCAAAATAACACAATTCGCCTGACTTATCTTAGTCCTATAACAATTCTTTGCTCAAACCCAAAACACCTCATTGCAGTCGTTGAGTTCCTGAGGTTGCACATTTAATGGGGAAATGATTATACATCTTTCTCCTACTTAGCCTCTGGGGGATTCAACTGGGAGAGGAGAGATGCAGTCTTTGGGTCAGCAGTTCAACCCTCTCAACCCCCTCGAGCAGATCTATGAGAGCGATGGCATCATTGTCCCAGCTTCACAGTGAAGGTCACAGTGAAGGTAGTAAAGCACAGAGTGGCTTAGAATTGCACTCACATGGCCCAGCCATTCCATTGCTTGGGATATACTCCAAGAAAATGAGAACTGAGTCTCAAACAGAAACTTGCACACCATTGTTCATAGCAGCATTATTTCCCATCACAAGAACGTGGAAACAGCCCAGATGTCCAACCGCAAACGAATGGATTGAGAAGTTGTGGTACATTCACACAATGGAATACTATGTGGCACGCAGGAACAAGGATTTTGTAAATTATTACCTAACTTGGGAGGGACTGGAGAGCATTATGCTGAGTGATCTAACTCAGTCCCACAAAGACAAATAGTGTATAAAACCATTATTGTAGAATGAGTATGAGGGTCCAAGGGGGAGGGGGAGCATGGGTGACATAGTCCATGGTGAGTTGCCCTGCTAACCCAAAGTTTCCGCCTCTCTGGGGACTAACATCCACCAATGACTCCTTGGTAGAAAGATAATCTCCTTCATGCAATTTACAGTGTCATGAAACTGGTCAGCTATGAGTTGGTTTAGAGTGGAGGCAATAAGTGAGTGAGTGAATACAATCTTACATGGTGGAGACAGAATCTCAGTGCCACACTTGATTGCAGTTACCATAATTAACAAATGAAAATAGAAAATGTTCCAGCAAATCTGAACTTCACATACATAGAAATATTCTTAAGTATAAATATGTCCCATATTTGTTATTTTAAAATATTTGTTGAAATTAAAATTTAACTCGGAACCCTAGACTTTTATCCTACAACTCTTCCAAGCCCTGTGTTCTTTAACTCTGTCCTCTTACTCATTTGATTTCTGATGGTCATGGTGGTTTGAATTGACGTGTTCAAGCCCATCTTGAGAGCATTGAGCAGTGGTCTCTCCCAGATAAAAAAACTGAACCAAACCTGTTGCCCTGGAGTTGATTCCAACTCATGGTAGCCTTCCAGGACCAAATAGAACTGACTCACAAAGTTTCCAGTGTTGTAATCTTTACAAAAGCAGACCGTCAAATCTGTCTTCCAGGGGGTCCTTTGTGCTTTCGAACCACCAATCTCTTGGTTATCTGTCAAGGGTTTCAACCAATGTACCATCAAGGGCTATTTTTCTTACCTGCTACTACCCCCAGCAGCACTGAGAGGGTCCAAATTAGCAGCATCTAAAGAAAGTTAAAAACACAGGGTCAGATTTGTTGCATTGAATTTGAGAAGGATCAAGAAGAGATTGTAGGATTGTAGGGTTATCATTGGTTGTTTTTCATAGTCATGTTTTCAAATAAAAACTATTACTGTACTTAAAACAACACACGAGTCAGCCTTGATTAAGCTGGTTTGTTTTTTTAAGATTAGAATTATTCAAGTTCATTTAGATATAAATCACTAGAATTCTGGTAAATTCAAAAAAACGAGACCTAGAACTTGTGTTCCTGACTCACCGTGGCAGGTCTGTCGAGTTCTGCACACAGTCTGAGAGCACCTAACAGGCCTTTTATAGGTGGACCTTATCTTTTTCAGTAGTTGCATGGAAAAGTAGCATGAAAACAAGGACAGTTCCAAGGATGTGTTTATAAATCTAATCAGAGATAAATGCAGATTAAGAGAGAAGGGAAAGTTTTCCACGTGGAAAGATGACAAAGGGGTTGATATGAAATGTTCTCTTCCCATGTAGTTGTACAATGTGCAGTAGGACCATAATTTCACCGTATTGATGATTCTAGTCTGATTTTCCCCTCCCTTTCCAATTCTCTCTGCAATTCTGTAGGCGTGTGTGAAATGAAATTGTTTTCATAGATTTGATAATAGCAGTCTTGGAAAGAAATACTAAAATCTTATTACCTCATGATTTTGTATGTGTGTGCAACCTTGTCTAACCCTTAAAAACAGTAAAACAGAGGCAAGTCTTAAAGCAAATTTCTTCCTTCTTCCAGAAATGAGTTGACCTTTAAGGGATAGAGAGTACTATTAGGAAGACAGAGGTGGAGCCTGTGACTTCAACATCAGATGAAATTATTACCGTTGGAGAAAAGCAAACTTCAGTTTGTAAAAAGTAAAGGAATGATCTTAGAGAAATTATCTGAAAGAGAAGAGTTGAGATGATTTTAATTTGTGATTGACTGCCTCAAATAGCTGGTAATGGGATAGTGGGATAAGTGGGGTGAGGTGGTTGGTAAACGCTCAGTGGCTAATGAGGGCAAGTTCAAACACCATTCACTTGGGAGGATGAGGTTTCTGTTTCTATAAAGATTTACATCCATGGAAATCCTATGGAGTGGTTCTACTCTGTCCAAAAGAATTAGTATAAGTCACTAATGACTCCATGGCAAGGACTTTTTTTGAAGTAATGTCATACCACAAAGAACCCTGGTAGAACAGAAGTTATTGGCCAAGGGAGAAAGACATGACAATCAATTTTGGTAAATATTTTCAGTCTTGGAAAATTTACGGGGCATTTTACTGTGTCCTGTAGTGTCACTTTTAGTCAGAATCAACTCATTTGGTTTGGGATACTGCTTTTTAAAAAATCTTGAGATCATTGCAAATATTAGCCTGAATTACTCCTGATTTAGGTCAAAAGGGTCAAATAACAATTCAGCCCTCTGAAAGAGTGTTCAAGAACAGAAAAACCAACACAATTATTTGTGTCTGAGGAAAGCTCAAGAAGGTTGGTAAGGAAATAGTTACTTTCAAGAAAGAAGGTACTTCGGTTCGAACCCACCAGACGCTCTGCTGGAGAAGGACGGGCAATCTCCTTCAACATGTAGCAGTTGGATCTGATTTGGTGGCTTGCGCGTGCACACACACACACACACACACACACACACACACACACAAATTTTTTAAAAAGGGGGGAAAGAAAGAAGGTACAAGGAAGGAATTTCAGGGATAGAAGACTGGCAAATTCCCACATAATCCTTCACATCTCAGAATGTAACCCTTTAAACTTCCATTAGATTAATTTTCCTCATCCTTTCTGAGAATGCCTCCTTTAAGAACTTCTCCAGATGGGAGTCGTTGTTTGTTGTGGAGCATAAACTCCCAGAAAACCAGAACCTCTCTGGCTTATACCTTAGCATCTACCCCAGTGCTGGATACACTGTTGTTGGTAGTGATGGCCCTTCAATCGATGTCCGTGGGGACCCCATGGGTTACAGAGTAGAATCGCTCTATCTTATCGGCTGTAATCTTAATAAAAGTAGACTTCCAGGCTTTTTCTTCTGGAGTATCAATGGTTGGGTTTCAGTCAATAAGCTTTAGGTTAAAAGTCAAATTAAAAAATCATTTTTCCCACCTAGGGACTTTTGTTTGACTATCTAGTTAAACTTTTGTTTGACTATCTAGTTAAACTTTTGTTTAACTATCTAGTTAGCTCCAGCGCTTAGTGATCAATGCACAACTGAAAGAATACTGCCTGATCTTCCTTTTGCTGCCACTCTACCAACCATGATGTCTTGTTCCAGAGGCTTGACTTTCCTGATAACATACCCCAAGTACACGAGACAAAAATCTCACCTTCTTCATTTGCAAAGAATATTTGCAGCAGACCCTTAATAGATCCCTGATGAATGAACAAACAAGAAGGTAAATGTGAAAAGTAACTTCACAATTGGTATAGTATCAATCATCCATAAAATCTTACAGAAAAGTAACTGTAATTTTATGAAAACTTACTCAAAGCCAACAAGAATTCAGATACTTGTAAAATTCAGTCTGTGTCCCTGTGATGTTTAATTATAGGAATTCTAGATTGTCCAGGCAGTCGCAATTCATAGCAGTCAACACCCATTCTGAAGGATACTATGAAACAATTAATGTTTTGTGTGAACTATAAAATAGTTCTCATTTCAGATGATATAAAATTTAACCTGGACACCCATGAGAAGTCAGAAACAATAATGACTCCCAATTGGGAAGAAAGCTCAACTGTCAGCCTCAATGAAATCTGAGTAACCTCCATGCCCAATCTCTGTATATAAACCCAATCTTTTCTTCCCCTTGGGGTTGGAATGGTTTGGGCAATAGCTGACATTCTTGACCTGTGAGTAATAAAAGGTTTGTGAATCTAAAAAAAAAAAATTAACCTATAATTAGAGCAACTGCTATAAAAATTAATAACAAAATTCATCAAATTCTGAACCAGAAACTAGAGTTACTGGGGGTTAATTTTTAAAATTGAAATAAGTTAAAATTTTAGAATATGTTGGGAAGATTTCATTTCTCAATGAAAGCTCTTATAAAAGCTAACAAAGGTGTGATTATATAATCAAGTCTACTATGTCCATTATGGATGAATGACTTTCCCTAAATTCAAATGTGATTAACTCTTTATTCAAATTAGGAAGCCAAAGCAAAAGGAAGAAGTCAAGAAATTAAGAAGCCGAACAGAAGATTTCAAAGGGCAGCTCAGGAAGACAAAGCAAAGTATTATAATAAAATGTGCAAAGAGCTGGAGTCAGAAAAATCAAAAGGGCCAAACTCCCTCAGCATTTCTTAAAGCTAAAGGAATTGAAGAATAAATTCAAGCCACAAGTTGCAATAGTTACAGATGCTTTGGGAAGAATATTAAATTATCCAGGAAGCATTATAATAAGATGGAAGGAGTATACAGAGTCACTATACCAGAAGGAATTAGCTGACACAGAAGAATTTCATGAAACAACGAATGAGTAAGAGCCTGTGGTGATGAAGAAAGAAGTTCAAGCTGCTCTGAAAGAATTGGCAAAAAACAAGGCTCTAGGAATTTATGGCATACCAAATGACATATTTCAACAAACAGATGCTGTCCTAGATGCGCTCACTAAGTTGTGCCAAGAAATCTGGAGGACAACCACATAGCCAACTGACTGGAAAAGATCTGTATTTGTTCCCATTCCAAAGAAAGATGACCCGACAGAGTGCAGAAATTATCAAACAATACGATTAATATCACATGCAAGCAAGATTTTGCTGAAAATTATCCAAAAATAACTGGAGCAGTACATCAACAGAGAACTTCCAGATGTGTAGGCTGGGTTTAGAAGAGGCCGTGGTATTAGGGACATTATAGCTAATGTTAGGTGGATCTTGGCTGAAAGCAGAGAATACCAGAGGAATGCCTATCTGTGTTTCATTGACTGTGTATGCAAAGGTGTTTAACTGTGTGGATCACAACAAACTGTGGTTGATTCTGAGAAGAATGGGAATCCCAGAACATTTAATTGTACTTATGCAAAACCTATACTTGGACCACAGGAGGCAGTGGTCAAAATAGAGCAAGGAGACACTGTATGGTTCAAATTCAGGAAGGGTGTATGTCAGGAATGTATCCTGTCTCCATACCTTTTCACTCTGTATGCAGGACAAATCATCTGGGAGGCTGGGCTGTATGAAGAGAAATGTGGCATCAGAATTGGAGGAAGGTTGATTAACAACCTGCTTATGCAGATGACATAACCTTGCTTGCTGGAACTGAGGAGGACCTGAAGCCCTTGCTGCAGAGGGTCAAGGACTGCAGCCTTCAATATGGATTGAAGCTCAACATCAGGAAAACAAAGATTCTCACTACTGGGCTGATTACCAGGATTATGATAGATGGTGAGGAAACTGAGATTGTTAACAGCTTTATTTTGCTTGGCTCCACAATCAGCATTCTTGGTACCAGTAGCCAGGAAATCAAGAGACGAATTGCACTGGGAAAGTCTGCTGTCAAGGACCTCTCCAGAGTACTGAAGAGCAATGATGTCAGTCTGGAGACTAAGGTGCACCTGAACCAGGCCATAGTTTTTGCAATTCTGTGCTATGCATCAGGGAGCTAGACAGTGACTTAGGGATGATAGAAAGAGAATTGATGCCTTTGAGCTGTGGTGCTGGAGAAGAGTGTTGAATATACCATGGACTGTTGGAGAACAAACAGGTTCATCCTAGAGAGGGTGAAACCAGGCTGCTCCCTCCTTGTGTTTTTCATTTCTGTACGTCTTCCTTTCCTGCCCATGTCAGTCTTCTGAATTTCATCTCTGGAGAAACCCTACCCCTTTCATCTCATATGGTTGAAATTTCTAACTAATGTAACTCATTGGTATTATCATTCACTTTATAAGCCATTTGGCTGAAAATTTAGTCATAGGGATTAGAATTTTAATTTAGTGGATTTTTTTTGTAGTTGCACAGGCAATCTAAGGTTATT